TATTTACAAAAAAATAAATTTGTAGACAATCTGAGGCATTTCTGTATTTAAGCAAAAATATAAAAACAAAACACTATTTTGAAAACCAGAAAGAAAAATTATATTTGCACTGACTATCAGATATATAACATATTTGGAAGCCAGTCTCCCAAGACCCCTCTGATGAATGAAGACAATGGCCAAAGGTTCATTAAGAACAAGGGCCTTAACAACAGGAGGACTATTTACTGTCCATATTTGACTTACACAAATAGAAGAGAGATGATATTAAGGAAATGAACGTACAGAATGTGTACCATGCCAGGCACACTACCAAGGGGACACTTTATTCAGCTACATCAAAGAACAACAAAACTCATTTGGAGGACCTGAAGTGCCAAAAGTCTCAAGGAAAATAATGTGAAAAGTAGAAATGGGTGAGGAAGGGAGAGAAAGATGGTCCTTCTAGACTTCAGTCTCTTATAAAGCCATAGTCATCAAAAATGATTTTGTAGTTGTTAAAAACAGCAAAAGAGAAGAGTGCAGCAGACTAGATAGGGAAGTGTGGTAGAAGTAGGATTTGCTCTACATAGGTTGGACTAGTTTCCATTTAATGGGATAAGGAGGCCACACTCAGGATTTGACTGGTCCCTGGGACCTAGACTTGAATTTGGCTCTCCTGGACTTAACGGTATCTAGCCTTGGTCACTGGATTAATGCTCCCACACCCCACCAAGGTCCAGTTTGCACATTTCATTTACCCAAGAGGTAGGTGGGCACCAGCAGTGGAGGCAAGCCTCAAGAGCCAAGCCCTCCCAGGTAGAGTCCAATGGACTAGCAGAAGAGGCACAGTACTGAGGTTGGGAGCGGAAATCTCAGTATCCATCAAGGTCACAACCTCTACCTGAATGAGCAACAGTCTAGCAAGTGCTAACAAAATCATGCAAGGGCACCTTCAGCCTCACCTGAGCCAAAGGCATCCTCTAAAGACCTCACCCACACCAACATGGATACAAAAGGCTCCTGAATAATGCTAGCCAGGTTATTATCATATCAGGGGATCTCCAGTGGGTCCACTAGGGTACCCCAATTTCTATGGTGAATCTGGAAATGTCGACCACTTGATAAGGAATACAAGGAGCTCTTCTGCGTTAGCTGTGTGGGTGCTTGTCACCCAATACCAGCAGCAGTCCTGGCCTTGGCAATGTGCCAGATAAGGGGCATAGGGCCAGTGGTTTCATGAATGCTTCTTTTTAAATCCATTCTCAAGGCTGGGACTAGTCAGGAGCAATTGGCTTTCACCTGGCAAGGAGTTCAGTTCACCTTGACTCTCCCACACCAGCCCTACTTGAGTTCTCCTTTATATTGTCACAGTCTGGTAAGCAGTTTCTGATATGGCTTACTTCTTGAGGGCATCATGTCCACCACTACATTGATGGCAGAATGTTGACCAAGACACATGAAGCTATTGTGGCAGAGGCCCTGGTTCAGGTGGCCCCCCATCAGAGGAGCAAAGGGTAAGAGATCACACTTAAGAAACTCCAGGACCATTCCCAGGGTCCATTTGGGAGAATGCAATAGGTAGGGAGAACATAAATGGTTCTCGATGTAGTCTGGAACACTCACATAGAGACAATGGAAGGGGGTCCTGGCAGCAGTGTAGGCCCCAAGAAAGTGAGCAGCATCATGGGTCCTGGAAGCAGGCACTAGGAGTGGGTACAGGCCCCATTCTAAACCAGACTCTGAAGACAGGACAATGGCCAACAACATCAGGACAGGCCTCAGCCAGGAGTAGCTCCAGATATTAGGATTAGCTAGAGTTGCCGGTCATGCTCACCAACAGGTTGTGGCTCTGGCAGAGGGAGAGGAAAGGAGATTGGCTCCTCATTTTTAAAAAGCTTCACCACAGTCATGACCCTGAGTGCTAACATTAGGAATCTTACCTCCCAGAAGTTGTGTCCCTGTTACATGGTGCCCATCTAGGAAGGGTGAGGAAGTCCTGGGATTCCCTGCACCCAGCCTCCAGAACGGCTTACAGCTGGGCTGTTCTGAGACAGAGTTCCACTGGGTCTTCTCTTACCCTTCTTTATTCTGTGCCCTGTAGAGAGTCACCCAGGCCTCAGGGTCTCTGCCCTCCTGGAGTGCTCCCAGCAGCTCCCACTCCCCTTCTATGTCTACATCCCAGCAATTGTCAAGTCTCCTTTCCCCTGGGATGATTCATACAACTCATCGTGGAAAGGGTTTATGCAATCAAAGAGTGGGATTGTTGGAAAAATTCAGGGAAAGTCCTGGCTGACAGACGGGGGAACACTGAGTTGGAAGTGGTTCAGATCTAACCTTGGTGTTCCTTAGGCCCATGGATAGGCTGCATCCAAGAAGCCCATGACATCTTAGCTATCTTGCTGCAGAGACCCTGGATGGGGATTTGTGGCTGTGCTGGAGGCGTCATCATCTGCTCTGTGGTCCTGCTCCTCACTCTGCTTTACACTGGGAGACCGACTGTGCACTGCCCACTTAACACGCCATGCCCTTTTAGAGGACTTTTACATTGTGTGATATGTGTATCATTCTTTTATTTGTACTCATTTCCTCTGCCTATGTGGCTTCTCATATCTCTGAAGTCAGGGGTGTTTATGTACACCCTTAAAGTCATAAAACTGCTTTGATATCAATAGGAGATTTTGAGGGGCAAGCTAAGCGATGTGCCGGATAGAACTCTGGGCTTTGACTCAGGATGATTTAAGTTCAAATCTGGTGTAACACACTTACTAGCTCTGTGAACCTGAACAACTCACTCTACCCTGTTTGCCTCAGTTTCCTCATCTGTAAAATGAGCTATGGAAGGAAATAGCAAAACCACTACTGTACCTCTGCCAGGATCCCAAATGTGATCACAAGAAGCTGGATGTGACTGAACAGCAATGGAAGATTTTGAGATCTTGCCACCAAGGAGTAAGATGTAGTAGGAATAGCATTTGTATTACATAGATTGTACTGGGTTTCTCCTACAGGGAACAAGTAGGTCATCCCGAGAATTTGGGACTTCTGCAGCACAGAAACATAAACCATTGATAATGGAGTGGGAACAACCTTTATTCAATGCTTACAAGGTGCCAGGCACCATGCTAAGTGCTTTACAGATAGCATCTCAGCCAATGGCATGACTTCTTGGTCAATCTATGAGTAGTTCTTATGTGCAACTTTAGGGGCATATTTAGGGTTAGACATCCCACTGCTCTGTGGGATGGATGTCTGGCACCATGAGGGGAGGCAAAGGAGAGCAATACCCATTCAAACAAGTAAACTGTTTCCTTCTCCATCCTTTTCAGGGTTCAGCAAACTTCTCTTTCTTAAATATTTCACAGTCCATGAGTGCATCATTCTCCTCTGCTCCACAGCCTGAACTGCCAGGAGGCTCTGGGTTAAGCCATAAACAGGAAGAATCGGAAAGAAAAATCAGTTGGCAAGCACATCTTCAAAACTTACCATCCATGAGGCAGTCTCTGAGGGTTATGAAGAAAACTGATGAAGCAGTTCCTCCCCTCATGGGACTTGATTAGGGAAGAAAACATTTACATATAAAAATCCACACAATGCAAATGCATTTGGGGAGGAAGAGGCCCTGGAAAGATCAGGAAAAGCTTCACATACATGGTGGCCTTTGAGCTGAGCTTTGAAAGAAGCCAGGGAGTCTAAGGGCAGAGGTGAGAAAGGAGAGCACTTCAGGTATGAGATATAGTGTGTATAAAGTTCAGAGGCTGGAGATGCAGTGAAGAATAGCAAATGAGCCATTTGGGCTTGATCACAGAGCGATAAAGAGGAGGAATGCATAAGAAGTTTCAAAATACAGTTAAGTCCATGCTGTAAAAGATTTTAAAGGCTAAGCAGAGGCATTTAAGTTATTTAACTTGATAGATCTCTGTTCAAAAAACGGGAAAACAGAAATTATTTGGAAACTTCCTTCATTTGATATGAACTTCTGGAAAAACTTAAAAATAGTGTGGTAGAAATTATTTTAGAGTAATACTTTAGAACTCATGCCACAGAATAAAATCAAAACAGATACACAACTTGAAAATGAAAGTTCATACCCACAAGATCACATACCTTTTAAATCCATATCTAGGGGGAGAGTTCTGAACCAAACAAAGGAATAAGGCAATCACAAAAGGCAAAAGAGATAAGTTTGATCATATGAAATTGAACATCTGTTGCACGAGCAAAATCATTTCCTTTCTATTAAAAGGGAAGCTGTAAATGGGGGAGGGTAAACTTTGTATCAAATATCCCTTACTTTGCCACCTTAGTAAAAACCCCTTTATTGACTGTATCATGTATTTTAAAAGAAAAGCAAGTTGACTAGAAGGAAGAAAGAAAAGAAACAAGCATTTATTACGTGCCTACTATTTGCCAGGTACATTTGACAAATATTACCTCATGCAACCCTTACAACCACCTCGGGGAGATAGGTGCAATTACTATCCCCATTTTATGGATGAGGAAACTGAGGCAGAGATCACACTGCCAGTAAGTGTCTGAGGAGAGATTTGAACTCAAGTCTTCCTGACTCCAAGCCCAATGTTCTCTCCACTGAGCTGCCTAGTTGCCTCTGCCATGTTCTACCATGCATATGTACATGTCTATTTTGTTCATAATAGGTTAAGTTGACAATAAAAAAAAAAAGAAAACTTTAATAAATAGATAGATAGAAGCTTTTCTAAAAGCTACTTGTCAGAAGATTAAAATGATATCAACTGATACCCATGGAAAGAAGCCCACTGGTGGGGGCTCATGACCTATGACATCACAAAGAAAACTTCACTTCTAATATCTCAGGATTACTCCTGGATTTGGGAGGGGATGTGGTAGCCACATTCTGGGGACACAACATGAATTTGCCAATGAGAGTGGGATGTAGAAGAGTCACCTCAAGACATTTGCCACACTGATATTTTTTACTTCTTTTCTATCAAGGTCCCCCTGACTCTGGCCATCATTCTTCTCCCTTAAACACTGAAGGAATGATTCCACATGATGTGATCCTGGGAACTCTTTACCTTTCTCAGACAGGACTTGGGGTGCTGGGGAACTCCATCCTCCTGTGCTTTTTCATCTTCACTAGCCGCAAGCTGAGGCCCACAGACCAAATCATGAGCCAGCTGACTTTAGCCAACTTCATTTTCCTGCTCTCCACAGGCATCCCAATGAAAATAGCTGTATTTGGAGTGAAAGATTTCCTGGATGACACCTGGTGTAAAATTGATTTTTACCTTCAGAGAGTCAGCCGGTGTCTTTCTCTCTGTAGCACTTGCCTGCTAAGTGGCTTCCAGGCAATTGTCATCAGCCCTGTCAGTTCTCCATGGGAAGGGGTCAAAGCCAGAGCCCCCAAGTACATTATCTCTTCTTGCATCTTCTGCTGGCTGTTCAGCCTGCTCATAGAAGTTGGCATAGCCATAGGCATTACAGGCCCACAGAGACACAACACTAATTTCACAGTAACAGTTGACCTCATTTTCTGTACCTGGAAAGAACCAAGTAGCAATTTTGTGTGGTTAACCACCTTCAGAGATGTGTTCTGTGTGGCACTGATGATATGTACAAGTGGCTACAAGGTGATTCTCCTGAGGAAACACCACCAGCAAGTCCAGCACCTGCACAGGACCAGCTGCTGTCCCCGAGCCTCCCCAGAGATCCGGGTCACTGGGTCCATCCTGCTCCTTTTGAGCACTTTTGTCTCCTTTTACTTGGTCAATGGTATCTTTGCTTTTTGCTATACCTACTTTCTTCATTCCAGGTCATCCCTGATAAATGTCTCTACATTTCTGGTGCTATGTTTCCCAACCATCAGCCCCTTTCTCCTGATCTCCAGGGATAGCCAAGTGGCCAGAGCCTGCTGTGTTCCCAGAGGCAGGCACAAGCCCTGGCCTCCTGCTTGATGTTGAGGGTTTGGCAGCCCAGTCTTAGGCCTACGTTTAAGGAAGGACCTCTCCTTGACCATGTCCAGGGAAGACAGTGCCTGATGGACCCCACTCCTTAACCCTGAACCCATACAGAAACACCAAAAATAGACCTGAATCTGAGGCTTGTGAACATAGCCCAAAATCTTTTATGATCTTTAGGGGACAAAGAACAACTGGGATTCCAAGGGGGCCCATGATCCTTGTGGATCTAGGTTCCAGGACTGAATTTCAGAGGTCACCCCCCTCTGGCATTATTTTTAGGCACTCAAAATACTATAGTATTTCTTCTGGATCTGTTCTCCAGATTGGTGGTTTTTCTGATGAGATGTTTCACTTTCTCTTCCATTCTTTCATTCTTTTGGCTTGATGTTATGATATCTTGGTGTCTTAGAATGTCATTAGTTTCTAGTTTTCAAGGAATTATTTTCTTCCTTAAATTTTTCATTTTCTACTTCCCTTTACTTGACTTTCTTTTCATATTTTTTTTAAAACTGCTCTTTTTTTTTCTAACTTTTCCTTGATCTCTCTTTGTTTTAAGTTCTTCCAAGAACTCTTTTTGTGCCTGGAACCATTTCATGTTTCTCATTGAAAAAGGAGGAACTTTTTTAAAGCTCCATTATCTTCCTCTGAATAGTAATTCAGATCTTCACTATCCCCATAGTAACTATCTATGGTTGGGCTCGTTCTCCTTTGATTACTCATTTTTACATACTTTTTGTTTAATTATGCTTTTAGCTGCTATTAGTGTAATCAAGTTGAATTCCCAAGATATGGGGAATGACACCCCAAGCCATAGACCCTTCCTACTGTTACTTTCTGAGGTCCATCTCGAGGCCCACCTTTGGGCTCTCCTTTCCACTACTAAAGCATAGCTAGAGCTCCCAGCCACACTCTTCAATTAATTATCTTTCTCCCTACAATCCCTCTGGTGGCCGCAAACTACAGCTATCCTTTCTGGCCCTGAATTGAAACCAAAGACTCAACTCTCCAACAAGTGCCCACAGCCGAAAGGGTCCCTGCTCCTCATTTCTGCACTAACCAGTTGTGTGCTACCTCCCTCTCCCCACAGCCACAGCCCAGGACACACTGCCCTTCCCAGTACAAGGTGTGCTTGGCATCCCTTCAAAGAGGAAGGTCCAACAATCTTCTCCTGCTCAACCATCAGATCCCCAAGACTGTCTGCAAAATGAAAGTTTCTAAGGCTGTGGCTGCCTCTCAACCCAGTTGCTCCCAGGGCTTCTTGTTTGTTAATTCTGCAGAGTGGGTCTGGAGGTGTCTGCACATCAATCAATCCAAACCTTCAACTCTGGAGGTTGAGACTTTCCTGCATTCTTCTCAAATTGTTTTGGGAGGACTACTGCTTTACCCTGTGTTTCTATCTGCTGCTCTGAGGTGATGTTCTCTCTTGCTTTTTGAAGGAAATTTATGGAGCTGAAAGTTTCTAGATCTACTCTGCCATATTCCCACAGTCATCTCCTTGTGTTCATATTATGAAGAGATTCTCAATATATGTTGAATCTCACTCAAATACCTTCACTTACTCCTGACACACTACTCCACTCCACCTGAACTGCTATAGAAATAGATGTACCCTTGGCCTTGCCTTCACGCACAAGTATTCTACTTCCATGTTCATGAACTCTTAAATAGCTGAAATAGTTATTTCAAACTTTTTCCTCAAATCTCCCATGGCAGGTGGTACCCACAACCTCTCAGCTGAGGAACTCATCTCATACATCACTGGAAAAAAATGAGATCGTTAAGCAAAACCTCCCCTTTCTTTCCTCCTCCTCATCTCACATCATTCAAACATCTTAATCCCACCTTTTACTTCATCTCTCTCCCTCTCATGAAGAAATTGTCCCTCTCCTTACCAAGTAGTATGCACAACCTTGATAATATCCTATCCTTTATCCATCAGATTACCCCTCTATCATTCTCACTCTCATTTTCAATCCCTCCCTATCTGCTGGCTCCTTCCCTGCTGCGTATAAATACACTCATCTTCTTCATCCTTAAAAGAAAAACATGTGATCTTATCATCTCTACTAGCTAGAGTCTTAAATGCCACCTGTTGTTTTCAGCTACACTGGTGAAAACATCTAAACAATGGCTCTGACTCTTCTCACTAGATTCTAAAACCCTCTGCAATGTGGTTTCTGATCTCATTATCCACTAGACTCTTCTTCATAGTTACCAACCATGTCTTTTTTTAAAAATATTGTATATTATTCCCCAATTACATGCCAAAATCTTTTTGACATTGGCTTTTTTAAAATTTTGAGTTCCAAATTCTCTCCCTCTCTGCTTTCCCTTCCCCTTTTCTGAGACAGTAAGCAATCTGATGTAGGTTGTATATGTGCAATCATGGAAAACGTTTCAATATTACACATTTTGTGCAAGAAGACTTGGGAAGAGAGAAAAAGAAAGAAAGAAAGAAAGAAAGAAAGAAAGAAAGAAAGAAAGAAAGAAAGAAAGAAAGAAAGAAAGAAAGAAAGAAAGAAAGAAAGAAAGAAAGAAAGAAAGAAAGAAAGAAAGAAAGAAAGAAAGAGGGAGGGAGGGAAGGAAGGAAGGAAGGAAGGAAGGAAGGAAGGAAGGAAGGAAGGAAGGAAGGAAGGAAGGAAGGAAGGAAGGAAGGAAGGAAGGAAGGAAAAAGAAAGGAAGGAAAAATGCTTCATTGCCCAATGAGCTCTTAATCATCAGATACAATGGTTCTTTCTGAGTCCTCATCCTTTCTGACCTCTCTGCAGTCTTTGACACATTCACTCCCTTCTCAAATCTCCCTGCTCTCCAGGTTCCCATGACACATCTAGTTCTGCTCCCTCTCTAGCTTATTCTTCATCTCCTTGATTGGCTTTTCATCCAGGGTATATTTATTAACTGTGGGTGTCCCCCATGGCTCTTTACTGGGCTTTCTTTTCTTAACCTTCTATAACTTCTTCACTTTCATCAGCTCCCAATGCTTCCACTCTCATCTGTATGTAGAAGATTCTCTGATCTACTTATCCAATCCTGCCTGCCTGCCCTCCTGACCTCAAGTCTTATATCTCCAGCTGCCTACTGGACTTTACAACGAGACATAGCAATCCAAAAGAGAAATCCTCACCTTACACCCTAAATCCTTCTCTCTTCAGAATGTCCTTGTTGTTGCCCAAAGCACCACCAGGCTCCCACTCACCCAGGCTCTAAAACTCATAATTCTTGACTCCTTCATTTCTCTCACTCTTCATTTTAAGTCTGTTGTCTTTCATAATATTTCCATTTCTTGATGTGCCAAAGCTCTCACACATAAATTATTCTCTCCACTTATATGGCCACCACCCTGGTCATGGCATTGAACACTCCATACTTGGACTTTTGGAATGATCTGCTGCTGGGTCTGCCTGTCACAGGTACACTTCAGTTCTAGACACCAACTTGGCCTCATGGAAAATAAAATTCCAGTGATTCGTTTGGTTTCACTCTGCTAGTTTCCCCAAGGTTGCTTTCCTGTTTTACAGTAAAGAATGTCCAAATAGGCTCAGTGTCATCAGGTGAATCCCTCAAACATGGCTGCCCTTCCTCTCCAGATGGGTTGGGTGAATTCCTTGACCTTTCTTTGATATGGGGTGGTACAGGTTGACAAAGGATGGCTTTGGGAAACCTTTCAGAGAGGCTTATTCTCTACAGCCTTCTTGCCAAAACCAAGTCCTGGCTCTACTCAACAGTGATATAAAAATGTCCACCCTTCTTGCCCTGGCCCTCCTGTAGTCTCACATTTTTTTTCGTTTTGAGCCCAAAACTCAGTCCCTTAAGTAACAGAAGAACTGTTGTCACCCAGGACACTGAAAAGTGGAAAAGTAGAGAACCCAAGAGGTGATGTCAGACACAGCTGTGTGATTAGTCACACAGAGGATGGGACAGAAGACCAACATGGTGGGCTGTGTGGGTGGAGGGCCAGAAGTGCTATTCCAATAATGGGGACCTCTGCTGGGGTGGTTTTGTTTTTGTTGTTTTAAGTAAGAATTACATTGTTGGTGTTTGTTTGCTTTGTCCTCTTCTATTTGGCTGGGCTGGGACATAGTTGTGCAACTTTCCTGTTATTCTGGTGTGGTAACAGGCTGAGCTTAGTGGCAACTTTTGCATTTGCCATCCTCAGGGAAGTCTCCAGGAAAATCCAAAAAGCCTTATTTGGAAATACAGTATTCCAATTATAAATAGAACTTCCACCATTTAAGTTGTCATTAGAATGACCTCGACCCATGCTTCTTGATTGTGTTCCTGGTTTGGGGGCAGTTGTGCAGACAGGTCTTTCACGTAAGAGAAAGTTTTTGGTTTACATGAGAACAGAGCTGCTGGTCCTTCTGTGGCCCCTTCACTCCTCTCAGTCTCCAGGACTCTAGGAAATTTACTTAATATTGAGACATTCATGTCTGTTTACTCCATTTTGGTTTCTACCATCACTGTGGGTCATGGCTTCCAGGTCTTCAAGGGAAGATGAAGAGATGACTCTGACCAGAAGGTCTCTGTCATCTTTGTTGGTCCATCCTTTGGGCAGCCTGTCCAGAGTGGGTCTGTAGTGGCCAGGTCCAACCACCTGGTACTAGTCCAGGCCATAGATCTGCACAGGCTGAGACCTTCATTCCCCAAGCCTCACTCATGATATTGCGTGATTCTCACATTACTACCCCACCTCCTAGGAAGCAACAAAAAGTTTTTACTGTCACCTGCTCCCAGATGTATGTCATGGCATAGTATATTAATTGGTCATAATTTCTGGTGGTAATTGACTGGAGGAGGGGGCAGAGGACTCCTGAGGAGACATCCCTCTCTCCCCACTGCAGACAGTGCTACTTCTAGGTGACATGACCGTTGATTATGACAGCTCCAAGGGGAGATGAGCTAAGCCATCCAGCAGCCCATATAATTCTATCCCTGGATTCAGACGCTGGGGTCCTGGCTGCTAAGGTCTGTCACACTTCTCAGAAGCAGAGGCC